GCTTTTTGGTGGGTGAAAAAGGAAAAAAGCAATTAGAAATACTATGCTTCTGATTCATTAATGGATTAAGGAGAAAAAAATGAAGTTAAATTAAATTCAACTGTTTAGAAAGAGCACAAATCATTCCCAACTGCCATGGAAACTTACCATATTTTCTCATTGGTAAGAAAACCTTACTGGTTGTAAAATTCAAAATTGATTAATGAATTTTTTAAGAAAAATAATCTATCGTATTAAGGGTATTGAAAAAATTAAAATATGTCCTGATTTCAGATGTGATAAAGTATAGAAATTATATATGTTTTAGAATTGTGGAAATATGGTATGATGTGGAAATACAGTATGAAGTCGTCTTATTTTGTTATTGGGGGAAAAAAAGAAGGTAAGGATCACTTTGGGGAGTACTATGATTCTTATTAACTCTATTTATCTTCTTTACCTATACCTCACTCCTACTTCCAAACTAAGATAATTAGAAGAGAGAAATTCCACTCCCCAGTTATGGTCATATTATCAATATTATTGAAAAAAAGAAATAAAGGAAAGTCCACAAGTATCACATGTTGTGCAACAATCACATCAAAGAGCACTGCAGTTACCTCTGGAAGACTAACATGTCCAGAAAGGGTTACACCTAGCACCACTCAGATAACATTAACACATCATAATGCACACCCATGCCTATTAGCCTGGAATGAATAAAGTAGAGCTCCTAGGGGTAGACTTAGTCATCTGTATTTTTTTAAATCTCCACTTTGAATTCTGATGCAGGGAGGTTTGGGAAATTCACTGTGGTGAATAGATTGGGAGTCTTTGAGGATAGAAACTGTCATACACATTCCTTGATCTTCAAAGAAGCTCCTGACACATGGTCAAAAATTGATAAATGTGTATTAAACACATTTAAAGACAGTTAAAGAACAAGTGTATGAATGTAATGTGCTGAAGTCCTGAGGTGATTTAAAATCATTGGAAGGGCTTATATCAGGACAAATTAACTGGTCAAAGTGAATACTAAGAAAAGATATTGCAAAGAATAAGTATGTTCAAAAAGGATGGTGCTATCCTAAAACATTTTACTGAGTTCTTATTGAGTGTTCCGTAACAGGTGATTGATTTCAAGATCCTTTATAAATTTCATTTTATTCTCATTTTATTTATTAAAATAAAAAAGAAAGACTCAAGCTGATTAGTTTTAAAAAAGAGAAAGATACTATGCATGAATATCATTTAACTTAAATTTATACAGATAACTCTATTCCCATAACCTCTTCATAACCAAAAAGGGTGAAAGTGTTCATAATGGAAGGAAGGAAGGAAGGAAGGAAGGAAGGAAGGAAGGAAGGAAGGAAGGAAGGAAGGAAGGAAGGAAGGAAGGAAGGAAGGAAGAAGTGTGCTTTCAGCAAGTAGTGCAGACTGTAAACGTCTTTGATAGTGTTAAAATCTCAAACAGCTGGAGTCACAACATGAGCAGCTGTTCAATATGCTCTATATGTTTGGAGGTTCATCTGTACATGTGTACATAGTATAAATAAATGACAAGGCTTAATATAATAGCATGAAAGAAAAATAACATTGAGATGTCCTTGGCTTGAATTCTTAGAGTTAAAACATAGAAGATAACCGCAAAAACACACTGTGATCTTCCAAATTCAGTTTCACACTGTATTTAACAAACTGAAGTATGCATTTTATGCAACTAAAACTAAATAATGTGGCATTCTAACAGTCAAGATATGAAATTTTCTTAGCAAATGGTAGGCTGTTTCACTCATCTTTGTTTCTGTTCTTGCTGTAGCTCTTTATTTTCTCAAATCTCTCTTCTTCAGTAATGAGTTATAGTCTCCTTTTTGTACTAAACATTGTATAGGACTCTATGAAGGGTTGATTTCCAGAGGAAATCAATTTTTATCTTCCTACTTTGAGAAAATATCTTTTTTTAAGATTTTATTTATTTATTTCCACAGAGAGCGGGAGAGAGAGAGAAAAGGAGGGAGAGAAACATCACTGTGGTTGCCTCTTGCACACCCCCTACTGGGGACCTGTCCTGCAGGAAGGACAGGCATGTGCCCTCACTGGGAATAGAACTGATGACCCTTTGGTTCCCAGGCTGTCACTCAATCCACTGAGTGCCATTGATTGAGCCATACCAGCCAGGGCTCAAGCAAATATTTATTTTGATAAAATGAGGCAGAATGGTCATCAAATATAGCCTTAATGGGTTGCCTTGAATAACCTTTCCTATTTGTGCCCAGCTGGGGTTGTGTTTGGGTCAACCAGTCCCAACCCATTTTAGGTATGTGAGCTCTTCCTGTCTCTTTAGTGGGACTACCTATTTTACAAAACTTGATGAGACTATTTTAATTGAACTTTCCCCTATGGAGACCTCTGTCTACCTTTTCTTTGCCATGCAAACTTTTAAGTTTATGAATATCACTTGCATGCTATGGTGACATCGATATTGGACAATGAGTTAGGATTAGCCTCTTTTTTTTAAGGGGAGTGTGTGTTCTGTTACAACTATAATCAGTAATCAACAGCAGGTAGAGCAGGTTAGAGGGATATACATCTATGACTTGTAGGCTACCACTTTCCTCCACCCCAGTTTTTTACTCTGAGAAACCTAACATAAATAATTATTTTGGTACTCTTTCTTACTGAGCCTCAGACTCTCTCAAAATAGTATTTCAGAATGCCAACTTAATGAAACAGTTGTGGCTGGTCTAACAGTTAAAGTTGATTTTGCATCCATAGACTATATAATCTCTGAATAGCCTGTCAGATCTAACATTATATAGTTGTCTGATTGCAATTTTTAATGATTCTTATTTTGATTGGATAGGGAAATTTCAGTTATTTTTGCTAATGTATATAGTAGGATGAATAACACCAAACAGTAGATAATCTAAAAATAACACATTTGCTTACCTAGTAATAACTTTTTCTAGTATTTGTTTAGCTTGTGTTCCTACTAACAGAGGTTAATAGGTAGTGACATGATTGATTGGAGGAATTATAGATTATATGCTGCAGCAAATTTATTTGCTAAATAATGATTAATATATGACTCTGGAGTGTGTCTTTCTAATTTTGAAGATTAAAATAGACCATTTTTATGTGTTTTATATATTAGATAATGTAATATTAAAATTGTGTTTTTTTCATGTCAAACTATTTTATATATAACTTTATAACATTTATGGTAGATTTATATAAAATGTTATATTTATTTAATCATTCTTAATTTGTATAATCTAAAGATATAATTCAACTCTGTATGCCTTAATGCACTCTTATTTTGATTTTAAATGCTAAATGAGCCAATCATTTAATCAAAATATTTTTTTAAATGAACTTCTACTTCCTTATGTAATCAGTAATGGTATTATTTACTATAATAATGAAACGATCTTTTGGCCATTGTTTTTGCTTAAATTCATTGAAAATGTAGCTGTAAAATCATGCACCTATTTCATGAACAAAAAGAGGTACTATGACTTTTACTGAAACTCCAAACTCAATTTTGTATGGTCTAGGAACTGTTCACTTCTGATGCTATTTTTCACATTTATTTGAAATCATATAACCTCTCTTACCTTTGAAAATTATATTTCTAATAATAATTTATTTATTTACTATTTATTAGTTGTCTTAGCTTTAATCATAATAAATTTATTTAATGTTTGTATGCATATTATTAGTATAAATTCTCAATTTACATTTTGTCAGCTTTCATTAACTGATCAATTAATTACATGTAGGTATTTATCACCTAGGTTTTTCTTAGAATTTTTAAGGAAATTTTACTATGTAAAATAATCTTACTACGTAAAATAATCTGTATTAATGTCTAAATATAGAGAATAACTAGAATACCTAAAATCTAGAATAAAGACTGAGCCAATTATATAATAACTAACTTTCTAAAATGGGATTTATTTTGCCTTGATTCCTTCAAATTTACTTTTGATATTGTTTGATGTCTTGCCTTCAGAAATTGACATTCTGAGATATAATTAATTTCTTAAGTTTTTTTCTCTATATGCTCTATACTTATTTTTATTTATAATTTATATTTGATCTAGTTGCACTCTGTTTTAAAGTAAGCATGTAATCGCACACAGAATAGTTAAAATTAAATTAAAGCAGAGATGGCCCTGGTGACCTTTTGGTGGAGTGTTCTCCAGTACAACCAAAGGCTGCTGGTTCATTCTGGTCAGGGCACATACCTGGGTTGCAGGTTTGATCCCTGGTTGGTGAGTGTGCTTGAGACAACTGATTGATGACTCTCTCTTTCTTTCTCAATCAAATCAATAAACATATCCTTGGGTTAGGATTTTTTAAAAACAGAGATCATAAATCATATAAAAGAAATAAAAAAGTGTTCAGCTGGAAACCAGAATGAGATAGTTGCTGAAATTCAGTATCGATTCACTATGAATTTTCTGACTTGTCAAGGAAAAGAACAAAAAGATTCTCAATTCTCCAGTTTAGTAAGAGAAACCAAGCGTTACCAAAGTTTTAGATACCAGATGGCTCTGTTTTCTATGGCCAGAAATGCGTTACTCAAATCCTGCACCCCACTCATCCCCACTTCCCTCATTCACGAGTTTATATATTAGCTCCTTTTTGAAAACCTTTTATTATATACTCAGTAAGGAATTATCTCTTCTCTGCTTTATACATTAATAATTATAAAAGCATGGCTATCACTATCATCTGAGAGGCAAATAACAGACACTAAATTTTGTCCAACTCTGGCAACAATCCTGGTATTTTACCTTCTTTACAGAACAAGAAACTGAGAAACAAGAGAAGCTAAGTAAAAGGACAGGTCAAATAGCTAAAAGGGCGGCGTTTTTAAACTGTGTTCCAATAGCACTTTATAATTGAGGATCTCCTCAGGTAGAAAACTGTGCAAGCTTAATTCACTTTTACTCAGAAAATGAGAAGATGTATGCAACTCATTGACATTTGAATATTATTGTGCTTTCCTGCAGCCTGTGAACTTATGAATCAAGGCATCTTGGCACTGGTCAGTTCCATTGGCTGCACATCAGCGGGGTCCCTCCAGTCTTTGGCAGATGCCATGCATATCCCCCACCTCTTCATTCAGCGTGCAACAGCTGGGACCCCAAGGAGTGGCTGCGGGCTCACCCGAAGCAACAGGAATGATGACTACACACTCTCTGTTCGCCCCCCTATCTACTTAAATGATGTTATCTTGAGAGTTGTCACAGAATATGCCTGGCAGAAATTCATTATATTTTATGACAGTGAATACGGTAAGTGTGATTTGTGTGAGTTTTGTAAGTTGATATTTGCATGGCAAGCAACTTCACTGAATCATGAAAAATTTCAAGGAGCTTACTCATTGTTATCTATGGTCTTCTTGTCCTGTTATATGCTTCTAATAAATCTAGCAGCAACAACAAAAACTTTATAGTCAAGTCCAATCTTTCCTATCGCATCCCTTTGAAATCAGATTTTAATATAAATACCTGTACCTAATGCTCAGTCTATAAATATTTCTAAAGGGAAGCTGACTCCAATATATCTTTGTGTTTCAAATAATGGAAAGTCATAAAAACAATACTGTCATTTCCCCTTTCAAAAACATTTGTATCTCATATGATAATAAAAAAACATTTTGGACAAATTCTGGAACACTGACAAAATTCCTTATCTCTATTTATTTGTTCCAAAAATATCTGACATATCTTGTTTACACCCTTTTGTAGATTTTCATAATTACTTAGTGGTTAACTTTTGGAGGGTCACTGAAATCACTTTACTTTAAATTAGCATGGCATATTATTACAATATGAAATCTCACAAAAACACTGAGTAGTATGAAGATAGTTTATTTAACTTTCCAAGGGAAGACACAAAACATTTTCCCTAAATTTATCATAAGTTGAGAAGACACTTTGTCTCGGTATTTTTATCTTCATCTAATTTTTAAAAAAATAAGTAACAATGATATTATTTTGTTAATTTTTTTCTGAATTAATCTATTTGTTTTCTACCTGACTGATCCCAGAAATGTTCAAATATAGTTTCATATTTTTGTTATTGAGAGATTGAAGATGAATACAATCAAATGAAAGAAACAGATATTGTAAGGAATATGTATTTTGAAATATGTGCTTCCTTAGAGATTAGCCCTTAAAGTGGAATCTCAGAAAATAAATTTCCATTCAGTATAGATGAGTCTAGTTTCACAGTTTTGTGAAAAAGCAAAACAAAAACAAAACAAGAAGATTTCACCTTCTGAAGTGGAACATATTTTTTCTTAGTGTATAAATAAACAAGCATTTTAAAAATAATGGTGTTCTTTTTATAAACTACCCAGCACTGTGAACAATATTGGAAAACAGTTATACAAGAGTGGGCCAGAAGAGGCATCAATAGAACTGAACACAAAAAAAGGTTGGCAGAAATATGGGAAGCAACAAATAAGGGACTCCTGTGGACTCCCAGCAAGGGAAAGCAAGTGGTAGTTACATTTAGCCCTAAATATTCAAAGATCACATGGGGTTTTGGCAGCCAGAGTCACAATAAACTTGACCGGTCGATTTCAGCCAGAAGTCTGGGGCATTCTCCGGAAGCATACTCCTTTGTCTCCAGCACGGAAATCCTTATTTTTGTTGCTTAGTTCATGTTATTTAGGGGTCAAAGAACAAAATGAAATGAATAAAAGAGACTGAAATGAATAAAATAAATTTAAAAAATTCAAAAGTATTGGCTCATCAGCAAAAGTAAGGATTGAACACAAATTTCAAATTCACTGATAGGATTTAATGACCATAGTAAATTCTACCGGTGGAACCAACATGCTCAGTATGGTTTTGTCAGTTTTCTCCCAGACAGATCATCTATGACTTCTATCACCGTAAATAGCATTCTTATGACCTCTGCTGAAACTATTATTTCATTATAGTTTGAAATAATGAATTCGAAAACCCTAAATTTTTCTTTTTAAGGGGAGAATATACTTTTTAGTTAGTATTATCAAAAAAGTCCTGTAAAATAAGAAACACAAAAGTGATTTTGGTTTAAGGCACTCTTACAATATTAAAATGAGAATGTTACTCTTATATGTCCATGAGGAAAGAAAATTCTTTGTTATCTTGTTTCTTAGTCCTACATGGATTGCAGTTAGTAAATTTATAAGAGAATATATTTTTATTATTGATGAGGCATATAGTTTTGAAAAGGTACACTAAATTTGTGGTCACATAAAATCATTCACATTCATTTGAAATTCCTCAGTTTCTTTTGAGTAAATAAGATGCTGTGACCTCAGTGAGTGACTGGGTCCCCTCTGAGAGAAGCAGCGTTTGTGTTAGGAATGAAAAAAATATTCTTTACTCTGATGGTAACTTGCTTTTGACTTATTACTTAATTTAATAATTTGTAAAAAAATTACCTTGCTTGTATCATTAGAATGATTTCCAGTTATACTCTTGTTTAATGAGAGAAAATTTTTCTTCGATACTTACAATAATCTTTCTAGTAAAGAATTGGGCCAGAGTCCAAAATAAACATCAAGCTATTCCAAATACTTTGTTCTTTGAAGAAAGCCATGTTTATTTACATATCCATTCATCAGTGTTGTCATTTTAGGTTCAAACATTGGAATTATACTTGACTTTTATCTTAGCTATCGGGAATTGCTTTCATTAATGAATGAATTAAGCGTATCTGGGGATGGAATCAGGCGACCTGCTGAAGCCACATGTTATTGAACATGTATTTTGCTTAGAAAAATATACTAAAAAAATTAAGCTTCTGTATCCAGTTAATTAGAGAAAGACTTTTCCCCCCCAAAGCAGTTAATTGTGAATAAAGGAACAGTATAAAAGTCTATTTTAAATTCCCTAACAAAGAAGATTCAAGTCTTTAATTCTAAGTAAATGCATGAAAAGAGAAAAAAATCAGAAACTTAATTTGAATGGATTGATTCAAAACATTTTTTAAAAGGCTTGAAAAGAGTTTAGAAAGTGTTGAGCTTTCAAAAAATCTGTCATTCAGGAAACATTCAGTGCTCATTTGCTTAGTGTGATGCAAAGTATGAGATAAAAAGTTTTACAGAATGCAGTCTTAGCCTTTAAGAAGCTTACCATTTTAGAAAAGAGGTAAAATATTTACATGACTCTCCTAATAGAGAAAATAATGTGTCATGAATGATGCAGACTAAACACTAGCATTGTGTAATAAAAGGAGTGTTAAATTTCAGCAGCAGTAATCAAAGGCTTTATGGGTAGACTTTGACTTGATTGTTGCCTCTCAAAATCCAACCAAACTTTCATAAAATACGGCAGACAACTGATCCAATAAAGAGGAAATGTGAACAAGTCTCGCAACAATAAAAACATTTAAAATAATATCCTTGAATGTTTTTATTTGCCAGGGACAAGAATAAATATTGTATATTGTACCATTCCATCTCCTCAACAGGTCTAATGAAGTAAGTAATATTATTATCACAATTTTACAATTAGAAGACAGAAGCAACTGATGGGTAACTCATTCGCAAAGTGTCAGAAGTCTCAAAGCTGAGATGTAAAGTCTGATGAGAGCCTGTACTCCTAGCCACATATAATGAGCATCAGGAGGTTGCAGTGAACTGTCACCCCAAAATATAACAAGGGCTAATTATTATAGAGAGCATTTATTGTATCCAGACTCTGTTGTAAATGCCATGCATGCATCATATCATTTCATCATCATAGCAGCCCTAGGTAGATGATGGTCATGATGATAATGGTGATGATGATGGTGATGACGATGATTTTTATAAATGAAACAACTGAGGTAGTAAGAAGTCAGGTAACATGAAAGTCAAGAAGCCTGACTTCAAACACTGATAGACTAATATATACCATTGCTTTCAATACTAGAGTACTTTGATGTTATAAAAATAAGCATAAGATTCAGATATGAACAACTATAAAATAAAAATGCTTATAAATTAAGTATATAGAATTTCTTTATTAAAGAGAGTCATTAGCAAATTTCTTTAGTAATGACTTCAAGCCTGCAGTGGCAATAGAAACAATATAATTGAACCAGGATCTCTTAAGGATTATGGAGTCATAGGGCAAAGGTTAGAATTTAATGTAGTAAATCAGAATGACTAGAAGAGCTTTTTAATCATCATAATATCTGGGTCTCATCCTGAACCCTTGAAATCAGAATATTTGCAAGGTAGGCACAAGCAACATAATTTTAACATTCCCCAAATCATTCTGATAAAGCCAGCTTTGTTCCTTGATAAAACATTTTGGAAACAAATGTCAGCAGGTCGCTACTTCAGTGTCTTTGATTGGTAGCATTATTTGCCCTGGCAGAACCCAGAACACTCCAAGGGAGAGAGAACTCATATTTTGAAGAAGCCTACCTCACAATGGACACTGAACATTCCTAAACTGTCAAAACGTTTTTTATGTGAATGTTAAAGCACTTATATCGGACAAAATTACCCGTTTTCAGTAAATACATAAATAATCATTTTGCTTATAATAATTTACTGATAAGTAAAGAAAATGATGATTTAGTTTTCTCTGTACTTAGTCTTTTTCTGCCTAATTACCAAGAGCAAGTTCCCTTTTTCAACAGGATGCGCTTTTCAGGTGTTCTACATTTCTAAATGCCTTTATCCCTATCCTAGTTTTTCAGTCACATTATCTGACATGTGTGCTGACTACACAACGTGTCACCTGCTCTTGTGGCTCACATGAGAGAGGTAAAACCATTACCTCTTTTTAGGAAAATAAAAACACTTATTACTTGTTGTGTATCCTTAAAATTTCTGCATTTTAAAAATTGGATGTTCACTCCTTATTTCATTACTCATTATATTGCCCTACCCTTCACATTGTGCATCACTCTCAGTTTGCCTAGCTTTGGTGAAGTAGGTAGAATATGGTATTCTGGGAGCATTATTAAAAACTGACAGTAGTCTAGGCAGGCTATCAGAGAGGTCGAAGCAAGGAATTAATTGAATGTAATGGCTACATTCTGGAATGGGGGGACTGACAACATACAGAAACCAGAAAGTTATAGGAGTAGGTGGCCCTTAAAATAAAATAAAAGCAGATAGATTGCTTTAGTGTGAGGATTCTACTCAGCGACTACTGATCAGAGAACAGTTGGATTTCAGGGCAGGGAGAACTGAATACAGTGATGTAATCAGTAAGCTCGAACTCCTCTTCATCAAATGAGCTACTTGGGTTCTTTAATTTCCTTTGCCTGAAACAATACTGATCCCAGCCTGATA